GTCAATTGGTTCATTAACCAAACTTAATAAGAGTTTGAAATTAAATATGTTGAGAGTTCTATTTCCACTAATTATTTGAAAAAATTCCCCCTTCCCTATGTTCAAAAAAAAAAAAAAAAAGAAGTTATATTTTGCAATCTAAATTTACATTAGATTGAATTTTCATTCATTAAAACTCACACTAAATCTCACTCATGTAATAGTCTAGATTTTGCAGTCAATTAATGTAGGCATGCAAGACTGTAAAAGCTATTTCTGAATAGCAAAAGCCCTTCCAAATATTGTTTCACATGCCCTTGCAATTGCATGCATATCAAAATAACACCATTCATCCTTATTTTTTTTTTTTGGGGATAGATATTCATCCTCACTTTCATACATTAAAAAAATGAACTGAGCTATTTAATCTTAATTTGGTTACCATATATGGAAAACAAATGGTGATTTTGAATTGATTTTTTTTTCTGGTTTTTGCCACAATGATTTTGAATTTATGATAGGTTGAGAAAATAATGAATTAGTTACAGCCATTTATAAATAAAATTCAAGAAAAAATTATTATTTTTTTGATGAGAAAAAAAATATATTACCTGGGGTATGGGAAGGATGACGAACAGATCAAAGAAGAATTCCTTCCAGTCATTCAAGTACCGGACCGCCATGCGTCCTCCAGCAGTAGCAGTGTGGGACGCACCACCACCACCACCTTCTCCTTCGACTTCATCTTTTGCGGCTGCCATGGGAGCAGTGTAGGAATACAGTCGCGTGTCCATCTTGAGCTGAAGCCACACGTTCCAGACGTGAAAGGCGTCAGTAATGCAGCGGAGGGCGGTGATGGTGATGGCGAACCAACCATCGATGTACAGGCACATACACTGGTCGCTTATGGAGAGGGCGTAGAAGGAGAGCGGATCTAAAAACAAGCCGGTGAGGATGAACAGGAGGTTTACCCTGTTCCATTCCTGAACCCATTTGGTCCTCGGGTCCAAAACCTGCCCCAGCGACCACCCTTTGCGTCGTCCACCGCCGCACATGTAATGCATGCTCTTACAATCCCGTGGGGACTTGTCTTCTTCGTCTTCTTCTTCATAATCTTCTTCGCTATCTAATTGATATATTTCTTCTTCTTGGGATTCGTAGTTGTCGTTTAATAAGTATTGCTTGTGGGTGGCAACTGAGAATTCTCGTTTATGGGTTGCCATGGAGAAGGAAGAAAGAATTCTTGTTCATGTGTCTGTGTCTATGACTCCATGAATGATATTAAGGCAGAAGTTCAAATGGTGACCTGTTCCAGAAAGGACATAATAATTTTAATGAATTGGAGTACTCAGAATGCACTGAAAAGGAAGTTTATTCAATGTACAAGCAGTAGGGTAAAAATATGTAACTATGTAACAAATTTCCAATTACTTGAGTGTATTCTCTCTCTAATTTTAAGTAATACAAGGAGGGTAGGGTGAACTTTTTTTTTTTTTTTTTATAGAAAAAATGAATTTGATTTTGTGTCAATTTTACAAATATTTTGATTTTTCAAGATATTTTAGTAAGTAAAAGTTTTAAATTAAGCAGTGGTAATTGATGTAATTTTTGTAAAATTTTTATTTATTTTATAAATATTTTTTACTTAATTTATATATTTTTTTTCATTTGTATGGAATTTTTTTTTATCTTTATTCTTTGGAGATTATTTTTTTAGTAATTACATTTTTACTTCATATATTTGCGTGAAAATATTTTTTAATTTACTTTTAAGATTAATTATGTTTTAAATCAAATTAATTAAATTTTGTAGAACAATTTTAATTTATAAATTTTTATTACAGAGTATTAAATGATCTTTAAACTTATTAAAATATTTATAAACTAATTATTTAATATTATATTTTT